CAGGAATTCAATGGTTCACTGCAAAACTTACCCAAGTGCCGACTGTGAAAGCGATCATCGCCCTGTTATATGTAAACTAAGAATGAAACTACGGAACCTGAAGAAGCCAAATGCAGCACCCAAATTACAATACAACAAACTCCTGGGCAACCCGAACCTGAAAGAAAAAATATATGGACAATGTGAAAAGAAGATACGAAGGACAGAATGGAAACTCGAAATGGGACATACTAAGAGAAGATTTAGTGACATCAGCAAACGATATCATACTAAAGGAAAAGGGGCGAAAAAAAAAAAAAACGAATGGATGAGATTCTCAACAGGATGCAAAGGAGATAGAAAACTCTGACAAGATACGGAACGTGATACAAAAAATTACACAATGAAATAAGGACCAAATGCAGGCAAGCTAAAGAAGAATGGCTAAATAAATAGAATGTTAACTTCAATGTTCACTTATATATATATATATATATATATATATATATATATATACACACACACATATATATATATATATATATATATATATATATATATATATTGTTACGAGGATGCATTTCTATTATAAGTGATTCCCCTGAGCCCTACTTGTTAATACAAAAAGTTTTCATTCATGAAGTAGTTGTAAAATAGAGAAATTAGAAATAATGTTTGGAAGATTCTAGATCATTCTAGTATATTCGAGAAAAATCTAGATGATTCAAGAAACATCTAGAAATATGCAAATTAGGTGCTAGCCCCTATAACAATGGGATTTTGGAAAAGGGTTGTCAGTTGATGAAGGGAAATTTCTGCTGTTATCAACTCCGGCTTTTGATTCAAGGACTATTATATCCAGCCGACAGAATCGCTATAAAAAATTGCCGACCAACAAAAATCCAAAAGAGAATTTCATGGAACAAATTTGGTAAATAGAATTTTGACTAATTTTCTTTGACCAAACTAAAAATTAATATTTATTTACACACCTTTGTGGATTTCCAAATATAGCACTTAGATTACTTCGCTAGCCCTAAAGTGATAAAGATATTTGATTCCCTTTCCTTCTCCTTCGTAACACTTCGCCAGTAACTCTGTGTTTTCTGTTTTTGTCGGCCACAATTGTTTATCTTGTATATATTTTATGTTGTGTTTTAGTAAATTAAATATTTGTTTGTGATTTAGCTCTGTGTTGTTGTAAAATCATTTTTTCCTTTGTTACAATTATCAACACGTAACAATATATATATATAAGACAACGATATATATTTTTATATATACTCCGATTTACCAACGAATACGCGGCCTAGGAAATGCGGTTCTAGTGAGCGCATGCTGTTGTCAAGTGCAGGTTATGAAAATCATCAGAAAGGTCAGCTTTATAACCTGAAGCAAGCCAACTATTCCAACCTGCCTCATCTTTCTGCCGACAATACCTGTGTGTTGTTAGCAACAAGCGTTGCAAACCGTCATCTGAAATGAGAAGTGACACGGTGATACACAGGAGATTTGTAGGACATGCCGATCTACTCAAACCAATCAAATGTACAGAGTTCATCTAGCTTATATGCATGATACCTATGAAATCAAATGCTGGACTGAAGAGTTCATCTTAGGGTCCATAGACGCTGAAACGAGACGGAAGCCATTCAAATTGATGCGGAGGATGAGGAGTCGGTTCACATATGAGTAACATGTCGCGATCACCATCACAAACGCCCCAACCCCGAGACTGAGAACGCTTCTGTCCAAAATATAGTAAATTTCAAGCAATGTAATCCTATTATAATTGTGCTTGTCTCTCTCTTCGTTAGTTTTGATAATTTTGAAAAGATGGGAAAGGTACTACTCAGTTTCAGAGAGAAAAAGACAGAAACAAAAGAAGTGCTTAACGTCTTCTGCAAATAGCGCCTAAATAATGGACTATTCCGTTTTTATAGTATGGAAAGAGGGGAAGGTCACCACGTGGATTCAGTGAGAAAAAGGAAGAAAGAAAGAATCAAAGAAAGAAAAGAAAGAAAGAAAGAAAAGAAAGAAAGAAAGAAAAGAAAGAAAGAAAAAAGAAAGAACGAATGAAAGAAAGAAAGAAAGAAGTGCTTAACGTCTTCTGCTAATAGCGCTTAAATAATGAACTATTCAGTTTTGATAGCATGGAAAGAGGGGAAGGTCAGTATTTGGTTTCAATGAGAAAAAGGAAGAAAGAAAGAAAGAAAAAAGAAAGAAAGAAAGAGAGAGAGAAATAATTGCTTAACGTCTTCTGCAAATGGCGCTTAAATAATGGACTATTCCGTTTTGATCGCGTGGCCAGAGTGGAAGGACTCTACTTGGATTCAGTGAGAAAAAGGAAGAAAGAACGGACGAAAGAAAGAAAGAAGCAAAGAAAGAAAAGAAAGAAAGAAAGAAAAGAAAGAAAGAAAAAAGAAAGAACGAAAGAAAGAAAGAAAGAAAGAAGTGCTTAACGTCTTCTGCCAATAGCGCTTAAATAATGAACTATTCAGTTTTGATAGAATGGAAAGAGGGGAGGGTCACCACTTAGTTTCAGTGAGAAAAAAGAAAGAAAGAAAGAAAAAAGAAGAGAAGAGAGAGAGAGAGAGAGAAAGAAATAATTGCTTAACATCTTCTGCAAATGGCGCCTAAATAATGGACTATTCCGTTTTGATCACGTGGCCAGAGTGGAAGGACTCTACTTGGATTCAGTGAGAAAAAGGAAGAAAGAACGGACGAAAGAAAGAAAGAAGCAAAGAAAGAAAAGAAAGAAAGAAAGAAAAGAAAGAAAGAAAAAAGAAAGAACGAATGAAAGAAAGAAAGAAAGAAAGAAGTGCTTAACGTCTTCTGCCAATAGCGCTTAAATAATGAACTATTCAGTTTTGATAGAATGGAAAGAGGGGAGGGTCACCACTTAGTTTCAGTGAGAAAAAGGAAGAAAGAAAGAAAGAAAGAAAGAGAGAGAGAGAGAGAGAGAGAGAGAAATAATTGCTTAACATCTTCTGCAAATGGCGCCTAAATAATGGACTATTCCGTTTTGATCACGTGGCCAGAGTGGAAGGACTCTACTTGGTTTCATTGAGAAAATCAAAGAAAGAAAAAATGAGGTATTTAACGGATATCTCAGGAAAATGAAAAAAAGTTGTCAATTTATTTTTTATTTTTTTCATTTGTACCGTTTACTCCTTAAAATAATGACTAGCATTCATATATATAATGAATCTAAAATAAATGAATGAATAAAAAATAAATAAATAAAAAATAAAATAATTATAATATGTATAATGAAAGTGAGGACCTTAACTGACCTGTTAAATGACCTTTTGCACCTAAACTTGGAAAGGCCGTTTTTCCTCTTCCTCCACCTCCCAGAAGCTTACCTGACACGAATAATTATCAATATCAAAGATATTGTCACAGACATGAGAGAGTGAAACGGTAATAATATCTTGAAAACTTTATTAGATCATCCAAGCACAACATTGTTATACGTACGATTTTTTTCTGGTATATATTGAACACGATGACATTTCGAAAACGTTTAAAAGTATACGCTCTCTTGTGATTTCTAATAAGTTTAAAAAGTAAACAGTCGAATTGCTGATGGTTTTTACATATCGCGTTGCGGTCAATATAATGAAAGAGCTATTGGATGAATTTTTTTTTTCAGTTTTAATTTTCCCCATTATGGGCATTATTATATCCTTGATATAATAACACCGTACTTCACGGAAGAAACAGGACGGTTGGAAAAAAAAGGAATATCAAACTTGCTTTTTTCCCGGATAGACTTTTGTAATGTGACGTCGTGCACAAAATTATATAGACATACTTACACGTGTCCTACGCAGAGAAAAATATAACATAGATCTACACAGCAAGAAGAGTGAAAGGATATAATAGGGAGATTCTTCTGTGTTTCTGGAGAAGCCATGTTTAGGGCTCCAGATTCAAATGGGCTGGATTCATCTACTTTGACCTAGGCGAGGACATATTCCACGAACAGGAAACAGCGAGTCTTAGGTTTTCCCAAATTGAGGACTGGTAGCCATAGTTTCTCTCTGTTTCTGGGGAAAATATATTCCAAAATGGAAAGTGGGCTCTGTGTTGAAGAAGGTAGATGTAACCTCAGCCATGGCTCACTGGCCCGATTTAAAAAAAAAAGCAACCGTTCAGTTTGGCTTCTGTAAATTGAATGAAGGACTGATCACATTCGTCACTGTATAAGCTGACGTCAATAAGCCAATGTCCAATAACCCACGTGACGTCTTCTCCACGAAAGGGAGATAATTGTTTTTTGTATCCTTACAAAATGAATGAAGAAATATTTTAGCTATTAATGGAAATACTCGTCTACTTCAATGGCTTATATAAATTGACGATGTCGTTTCTTTTTTCTTTCTTAATCTCTGTAAACTGAATAAAGGACTGATCACTTTCGTCAATCTATGAAGTAACGTCACTAAGCCACCATCATGTAACCAACGTGAGGACATCTCCACCAATGGGAGATAATTGTTTTTTGTATCCTTACAAAATGAATGAAGAATTATTTTAAATAGCCATTAATGAAAATCGTCGTCTACGTAAATGCCTTATATAAACTGATGATATCGTTTCTTCTTTTTTCTTTTGTCTTTTTTCTATTATTCATCCGTCTTGCCTCGTTTTGAATTCACTGACTCTGTCGCCATGTTCCTAATTAGATGAGAAGAAAAAAGCGAACATTTTTTCTTTTTTTTTTTCCTTTTTAAGTCGGAGCGACGTCCCGGCAATTGTAGATGTAACAATTTTTTATAGACTTGAAGAGACAAACACGAAAAGGAAATAGAAATAAACGATCGAACTGCCTTTCCCAAAATTGCATGGCCATTTTTCCTCCTTTGTTAGTCACGAGACAGAAATATCCACTTGTATTTACCTGGCTTTCTTCCCAAATTACTCAACATCACAATATTTTTTAAATTTGTTATCGAAATTCTTTCAACATTTGAAAAAAATATCTAGCGGCATCTATCTATATCTACATAGGCTTACGGCTATATCACGTTGAAACACAGGTTCTCAGACGATCACCGAAGTTAAGCAGCTTAGAGCCTGGTCAGTACTCAGATTGGTAACCACACGGGGATACTAGGAGTTAAAAAGTTGGATGTGCGGCTGGTGTAATGAATAACGTCTCGCAGCCGAGTTCCAATTCCAGTCGGGTCTGTTATATTCACTTACACACAAACATTTTACCGAAATACACCCTCTCCTCATCAAATACTTCTTCAAGGCATTTAATTTTATGCTTGGTCTACTGAGGTCATTTAATCCCTAGCATTAATCTTGTTTTTCATTGCTTTCTTCGATTGAATAACATGTTCACATATATTCAGGAAAATTTAAGATTACTGGTCACAAAAGACCAGGGAAATAAATCAAATATATTTTAATGATGCACGAACTATTGTCTCCTTAGGTTTTCTTTTTTTTTTCTTTTACTCATCGTGAAGCTTTGAAAACATTTCTTCACTTCTATATGTTTTCTGAAATAAAGAGAGAAAGATTTCTGGTTGTATGACAATAACAAAATGACAGTCGAGGAGACAGACTGAAATAGACAAAGAGATAAACGGTATTTTTGGCTTTAAATAACCTGAAAAAGTAAATCAATCAAATTATATGTACATGTTATATCTAAATGTCACTAATACGCAGGGCGTTACAGGAAATTGAAGTGAAAGAAAAAGTAAATAAGATTGAGAATAGGGAGGATTAATGAAAAAACAAAATATGGACTGGATTCAAGAAGTTAAAAGATGCCGTTTGAGAAGGAAGTTCGAGAAAACAAACTGTTGGATTAGAAGCTACATATATATGAGTGTGTCCGCGTGTATATATATATATATATATATATATATATATATATATATATATATATATATAATGCAACAAGAAACAAAATGACTTCAACATAGATATATTCGATTTCAAGCCGTTCTGTTAAAGCTCAGTTTGAATAATTAGTATTACTAGGATCCACCCGGATTATATACCAACTGTCATGTCGTATATATATATATATACGAGTGTCATTCAATAAATAAGGTGAATTTTTCGTTATAAGGACTTCTAATACAGATAGAAGCTTTTTTTTTTTTTTTCAACGTAGTCTCCCAGCACTGTCACACACTTTTCCCATCTGTGCATAAGCTTCCGTATTCCCTCAGCGTAAAAATCTTTGGACTGATGTCTCAGCCAGTCGCTCACAACACTTTTGATTTCATCGTCACTTTTAAACTTCATGCCTCTCGTGAACGCTTTCAAGGGACCAAACAGGTGAAAGTCTGAAGGGGCAAGGTCTGGGCTGTAAGGGGGATGAGAGAGCAGTTCTCAGCCCAGCTCGTTAATGGTCTGCACCGTTTGGGCTGCTGTGTGAGGCCTTGCGTTGTCATGATGCAAGATGACTCCTCCTGACTGTTGACCCCTGCGTTTGTTCTTTATGTCTTTCTTGACCTGCCTCAGCAGTTCACAGTAGTTTTTCTGTCAGACTGAATGAGGTAATTGACTGATTCGATTACCTCAGGAGACCTCACTTCTGTAGGCCACACAGGTCTGTCTTCTTCCTCAACACTGCTCCGTCCTTCTTTAAACAATTTAGCCCACTTGTAGACATTTTTTTTTTGGCGGAAACATGTGGCACCATACACAGTTGACATTCTCCTATGAATTTCAACTGGTTTGCACTCTTCAGCAACCAAAACCTTGATAACTGACCGCTGTTCAATCCTGGAGCATGCTTCTTGGTCGGCCATCTTTGTTAATCGCCTAAACTCTCAAAGTTTTTTTTTTTATTCTGTTAAAGAAATTAATTTCATGAAAAAAAGTAAAACAAAAAAAAAATAAAAAAAGTAAGCTTTCTATCTGTATCAGAAGTCCGTATACCGAAAAAATTCGCCTTATTTATTGAATGACCCTCGTATATATATATATATATATATATATATATATATATATATATATATATATATATATATATATATATAGACAGAGAGAAACAGAGAGACAGAGAGAGAGAGAGAGAGAGAGAGAGAGAAGAACTACCTGTGCACCATACCTTCGTTCATGGGCTCTGTATTGACTCTTGAAATTAAAATAAGTCAAAAATTGAACGAATTTAAAATAAATGAACGGATTTAAATTTAGATTCTATACCGATAAACTTATTTAAGGTTCCCTATGTTTTTCATTCCAGGTCTTAGGTGCCTTACCATGATTTGTGGGGCCAGGCTACAAATTAATTCCTCCCACTTTCTCTAGTTGTACCTTTTAATTTGGCTGGATTGATGCATTGTTCACTTTGGAGAACAGAACAGAAAAAGTAGTGCCTGTGTCCACTCTTTAAGTTGTTGTGGAGGTACCACCCACGATTCTCTATAAGAGACCAAACAGAAAAAAGTGAGTCCATGAAGGTATCTTTAAAATGTTTCCTGCCCTTCTGTTGCAGTATACTGCCGTTGTTAAATTCTCCATAGAAAGATTATCCCTAGGTCTTACGAGATGCAACACACGCAGTCGTCGATGGTTTTGTATAAAGGTCTCTAAATATTGTGAATTCACTGAAGGACAACGTAGACTGGAAAATGACGAGACCCATGGATATTTAGCTTTCTTCTAAGATGGAAAACTTATAACTGCAAGTGTACTGAGCTATTTCCACCAAAGATTTCCATTTTAATCTAGTCATTCATCTGATGACCTATGTGATAAATACAATTGAATAGATAGATAGATAGATAGATAGATAGATAGATAGATAGATAGTAACACACTGAGATAGATAGATAGATAGATAGATAGATAGATAGATAGATAGATAGTAACACACTGAGATAGATAGATATTAACAAACTGAGATAGATAGATCGATAAATAGATAGATAGATAGAACAGACTAAGATAGATAGATAGATAGATAGATAGATAGATAGATAGATAGATACATGCATTCATACATGCACACGCATAGATAGATAGATAGATAGATAGATAGATAGATAGATAGATAGATAGCAATTTCTAAGAATTAATTCTGCCGGAGAGCGCATATTTTCTTTATGATTTCTCGAATATTCAGGCCGGTAGACGAAAATAAATACATATACTGTTTAATAAATAAATGGAGCGTCTACTTAGATATGAATATGCAGTGAATTATGCCGTTTTAAGTCATAGATAGATAGATAGATAGATAGATAGATAGATAGATAGATAGATAGATAGATAGATATGAACAGACTGGGATAGATAGATAGATAGATAAATAGATAGATAGATAGATAGATATGAACAGACTGTCATATATAGATGGAAACATTCAAACTGATAAACATATGAACAGAGAGACAGATCTATATCTACATTAACGTTTCATCTTAATCTGTTTATTTCATGTATTGATCCTGTCAGTTCAATCCGGTCAGATAAATAGATAAACAGAGCAATTTATTCGAACTTGTCGCTCTCAGTATGTTCATAGCACTCGATCGTTATCGTCTCTGCCGCCAATAGCGTGTTATCCCCTGACGTCTGCCAACCGTGATTTCATGGATAAAAGGATTATAAGATAAATAACTCTAATAAGTTCAAAATCTGTCTAGCCCAAATCTTTTTCGTGTCTGGGAATGTTTTCTTCAATTTGACGAGGAGCAAAAAACGGAAGAAACACAAAACTGAAAAAAAAACATTAAAAAAAAAAATAAAACACTCCTCTGCATCAGTTTCGTCCGCCATATCCCCCTCTCTCTCCACACACACACACAGTCGCATATATATATATATATATATATATATATATATATATATAGAAGGTTAATTGTATAATACATAGAAGGTTAATTGTCAAAGTTGAATCAGACCAAGGAACAATGGTTCAACTTTGACCATTAACCTTCCATGTATTGTGTATATATATATATATATATATATATATATATATATATATATATATATATATATATATATATATACATATACATATTTGCTCTCAATTTACGTTGAGCTCTACGGATATCATCCTCCTTGGGTCTACCCATACGGATTACCTAGTTTTGCATAAACTATATATATATATATATATATATATTATAATATCTTTTGTTTAAACAAAAAAAAAATATTATAATATAAGCTCTACTTCTGTATGGAGCACTGTCTTCTTAAAAATTAAAAACAAAAATACTAAGGAACTCCGGATTATGCATCCAACGTGTTCTTTTCTGTTTTCTGCATACCTGCGCACTTATACTATATATATATATATATAAATATATATATATATATATATATATTGCCATTCAAGCATATTTGGTTAAATAATTTAGATGTATTATATCTATTTATTTTAGTTTTAATCCTTTCAAGTCCACAAATTAATTTCTTGGTAGCTGTAGAAAACTGATTGAGAGAAATTCCAAAATTTTCTTCAAATAATTTTTATTTTCCCAAGTAATTTTAATCTCATCTGTGACCATCTTCAGGCGTTGCATATCTATTGATTTGTTCTGTGTAATCACCGTAAATTCAATATAATCTTTACCGCTATACAAGGGAGTTAGCTTATGTGATTTTTTAAAAAATAAAGATTTTTAATGGTATTATTTTAATTTAATATTTTTACAAAATATAATAGATTAAAAGATAAAATTATTCAACAAAACATGCTTGAAAGTATTAGAACTAAAATAAATGGACATAATACATCTAAATTATATATATATGTTTCGTTATATAGTTTAGACACGTTCTTTATTTTATACATTTCCACAAGAAGAATAATCATAAACTAAAAATTCTTGAAGCGATCTCTCTATAAAAAATTGAAACCAAACCTTAATAAAATTAATTATGAATGCTCCACAAATATTTCTAAATATGTATAATAGACAGTTTGCAATGTCATGATTTACACAAATAGTTTCCCTTTTTCTGACTTATTCCTTAAAAAAATCTCCAAACCATACTTAATTACCTCCCTTTAAACGATTTCAGCCTTTAAGCACTGACGCAAAGCGTTCCCCACTCCATATGTAAGACATTTAACTTTCAGGTAACATAACAATTTGTCTCTGACAATAATGAATACTACAATATTTATTTTGTAAGAAACAAACTGCTAACATGGAAGTACCCAAGAATCATTTGAGGCACATAATGCTTCATGAGTTCAAGAAAGTAAACTCAGCATCCGAAGCGGTTAGAAACATTCACTCAGTTTATGGAGAGGAATGTGTGAATGAAAGAACTTGCAGAAGATGGTTTACAAAATTCAGAGGTGGAAGATGAAGATCGAACCGGACGTCCAGTTGAGTTTGATGAAAAGCTTCTTGAAGCAGCCCTTGAAGTAAATCCTGCTTTATCAGTTGAGGAATTGGCAGTGGTTCTCAGTTCAAACCATACAACTGTTCATCGTCATCTTCAACAACTTGGAAAAGTTCCTAAACTTGGAAAATGGGTGCCTCATGAATTGTCAGAAAACAACCTCAAATCCCGAGTTGACATCTGCTCTTCTCTCCATTCTCGCCAACTTCTTTCACCTTTTTGGATAGATTTGTGACTGGCGACGAAAAATGGATCTTTTATCGAAATGTTAAGCATCGTAGACAGTGGCTTGGTAAAGGGGAAGGACCCCAGCCACAGCCGAGAAGGGAACTTCATGGGCAAAATTTCTTCTTTCAATCTGATGGGATCGCCAAGGATTAATGCACTTTGAATTCTTACCACCTAATGCAACAATGTTTAAATATACTGTCAGCAATTAGAGCGTTTGAACCAAGCTTTGAGGAAAGAAAGACCTGCTCTCGTGAATCGAAATGAGGTGATATTTCATCAGAACAATGCGCGACCCCACACAGCAAGAATCACATCACAAAAGATCAAAGATCATGGTTGGGAGAAAATTCCTCATCCCCCTTATTCTCCCGATCTTGCTCCTTCTGACTACCATTTGTTTCGTAGCTTACAGAGTAATTTGGAAGAAACATCTTTTGTAACACAGGAAGAGGTTAAAACTGACATTTGTGAGTTTTTCGAATCAAAGCCAAAAGAATTTTACAGTAATGGAATTAGTAAGCTTTTTAATAGATGGAAGGAAGTCAGATAATCAGGGAAAATAGATTGTTGATTGAATCTGTAATTAAATGTAACATTTGGTCACTTGTTTTCTTTATTCAAAATTCGGACAGAACGTATGGGATGATCTGATAGTTGGTATGTGTTTGAGTAGACATTTCTGAAATTCATATCTACTGTCCTAGAAAAGGGAAGTTTTTTTTTTTTTCTAATGATGTTCCATCTGTAGAAAGACCGAGGGCCACTCGAGCTAGATCGTTACAGAGTAAGTGGCACAGCTTATGCGGATATGATTTGAAGATAACAGTTAACGCTAAACTTGAACATGATTGTGCAAACACTTAGACGTCGATTCCACAGGGCAGTGTTTCTTGGCAAGAAGCTGCTCGAGTGGAAATGACATCTCACCAATAGAATACGAAGAGAATGATAGTTGTTCGCTCTAATGTGTGTAGAATGGCAGGTCTTAATCGTGAAGTTTAGAACTGGGAGAATTAAGGAATATAACTCGTTAGAACATTTGCTAGGGAAATATCGATAGAGCAGAGAGAGAGAAGCTTGCGACGTTTCGTCTGTGTGTTGTAGGGTGTTAAATAATTCATCACCCATAAAGACAAAAAGATGATTTGGCACTCTATCAAGACTGGAAAATGAAGATTGTCAGCTCCAGTCATATGCCAACTTATAGTGAAAACTGGTATGATAAAAAGTGGACTACAATTTCTAAAAGATGGTAGTTTTACTTTACTCGGAATTCACCATATAGAGCGAATCAAACAAGATAAGTTAACCAGATATTGTCTTCAGGGAACATAAATGATGTTTTACAAATAATACTCGACCCTAGTATCAAGAAAATTTAATAATAGGTATGATAATATAGGTCAGTAACTTAATTTTGTCATATGCCAATATAATAATACAATAACATGAAATATTTTTAAAATATCAGTACAACGCCCAAGAGCCATTCGTGGAGGACGATTTCAGAGTAAGAGATATAGTCAATAGGGATATGTGGGGAAGCCAACGGTTGTCTCTGACAATAATGAATACTACAATATTTATTTTGTAAGAAACAGTACCCCGATGATGATATGGATATGTCGAAAGTACTTGGAAATAAAACAAATACGTATAAACACCCTCCATTAGAATGTCTGATAGTCAACTTCTTGAGAGCAATTCCCTGCGTCTGCTCGGTCTCACGGTGATGCTGACCTGAGATGGAACAAATTCATTGAGTCAATTGCTTCGTCCACCGCGAGGAAAGTTGACTCTCTGTGCCGCGCTAGGAAATTTTTCTCCCTGGAATCGATACTTCAAATATACAAATCCACCATTCGCCCTTGCATGGAGTATTGCTGCCATATATGGTCTGGGGCAACTTCTGTTTACCTCGGAGTCCTTGACAAGATCCAGAGACGGATATGTAATATAATTGGCCCTGATCTGGCGTCTCGTCTACAGTCACTCTCTCACAGACGCGCCGTCGCCTCTCTCTGTCTTTTCTACAAATACTTTCATGGTAATTGCTTTCGATGAGCTGCTTTCACTGGTTCCCAGACTCCATGAATTCAAGCACCCTACGAGGCTGGCATCCCGCTCCCACCCTTACACTGTAGAAACTTTTAAATATAGCCGTCTCTTCTACTCCAATAGCTTCATACCTCGCACCTCTCGCCTGTGGAACACCCTTCCCAATTACTGTTTCCCTGAGTTACCTTGATCTACCCACTATCCCTCATCCTTTTTTCTATCACTCCTATCTGCTCTTGCTCCAAATCTTCTGCAACCCCCTGCATCCTAATGTCTTAACGCCTTGCTCGGGGCGTAATGGTTAAAAAAAAAACACGGTGATTATAATAGGTTAAGGTTGTAGTGATTGGGGAATCATCATCACGTGAGTTGGTTCCAAAAAGCAGTGGTTCGTATGAAAAACCTGCTCGAATGGAACTTACATCTCATCAATTGCATGCGAAGGGAATGAGAGGGGTTCACTAAAATGTCCGTGGCATGACGGTACTTAGCCGTGAAAGTTAGGACAGTTGGAACTAAGGCGTGTTTATTTAACATAATGTGCTTAGAGGTGGTTTTGCAGCTCATAAATTGAATACTTGTTCGATACATGCGAAGTTCCTTTCAGAATACTTTGGATCCTTATGTCAGTAGATATTAATTTAAAAATCAGATTTTTTTTTTCTTCATTTCATCCCAAGCAAATCGCAAAAGCAATTACGTGACAAGAGGTTGCTGAGAGTGAACTAACAAAAGACAATGGTAAGAAGAAACAACACTAAAAATCGGGCTTCTTGAAAATTACAGAGCTGGTCAAAAGGACTTTAACAAAAAAAACACAATATGAAGTTTGTGCAATTTCGGTGACAATACATTTTTAAAGGATAAAAAAGTAATGGACTAGATTTTCAACATCTATTCTTTGCACAAACGCAACAAAATTTAACAATATTTGGAGAAATAATTCCAGGCGAAGAATATTAGATTTCTTACAACGATGTCGATCGGAATAATTTCCTTGGTAAAATAAAATTAGCCATACTTAACAACTCCCGAATCCGGCCTGCATTATAAGAAGTTTATTTTATCAGCTTCTTTCGCAGAATTTTAATTTTTACAACTAGTTTACAAAATTCGGCATATTAAAGACAGCAATGGATTAAAGGCGTTACGAATCTGGCCAATCAGAAAGTTGTTGCCTTCTATTAGGAAAACAACAGATCTCACGTCTTTTTGCGCATCTGGCAAAAATCGGTATACCAGGTGTAACAGCAAAATTGTCTAAATCGTGTAACAGCAAAATTGTCCAAATCGTGTAACAGCAAAATTGTCCATCCCACAAAATGTTTAATATTTAAAAAAAAAAAAAAAAATACCAAACTAATTGAGTTTCTTTTTCCCAGGTTACAAATAAAACGTTTAGCTATATTGACACCATTTGACGTAAGAATCACTGAAAAACTCTTTGAGTTATTCAGCTAGAAAAGGAACTGGTTAAAATCGTTTTGTATCAGCACCACTGTCTAGCCTAGATAAGCAATGGTGGGGGAAAGATCATTTAGACCTTCGGTAACGGTACCAACATACATACTCAGGCTTCCATCTTCAAAAGCTCATTCAAGAGAGCAGTGAAGAAGTTTTTAAAAAAGGGAGCAGTAGGAGGAAAACTGGATCAGGAGTCCACAACATCAAGAGTGATCATCATTTCAACTTAGAACTAAATCCATTCTTATTATTCAAAGTAAAGTCCAACAGTGTTAGAAAATCCTCGTAGAATTCCAGTAAGATATCTTTAATCATTTCTAAGATACAACAGTCCAAAGCTTAATTGGGCAATTTTTATTGTTACACCCGATACATTGGTCAAGATGTCGTACTACACCCACCGTTATCATCTGACCTTCTACATTCGCATTACCACTTTTTAAAATCCGTTCTTATGAGAAAAATTGTCAAAACATTGGAAGCGTGTAAAAAGTACCTAGACTAGATCATCAGTCAGAAAGATGACAAATCCTGGGAGGCAAGAATCACGAAGTTATCACAAAAAAGGCAAAAGTTAGTCGACAGATATGATGCATATTTATTAGATAAATCTGCGTACAAAATATCGTCTTCAAAATTCACTTAAAAAGTCTGCGAACTTTAGTTCCAGCCTAATATAAACGACAATTTATAAAACAACTACATGGACATGTTTTGCAAATGAACTGATGTCACCAGAAAAATAATATTATTTAACAAGAACAAAATCTAAATTAGCGTTACAAAAGCGTGATTCACACTTGCACACATTCACATGTATACATTAAATGTATTGTTATAGAAAATAGATTGTAACTAATTCAAACTCAATTTTAACAGATTGTAATTTTTGCTTACTCAATTAGAAAGAGTAAACAAGAGAAAAATACATTAAAGAGGATAAACAAAATAAAGACAAAATATATTGTAGACAAGATGAAAAGAAAGATTAAATTCGAGGAAAAGAAATTAGAAAAGAAAGAAAGAATGAAGGAAACAAAAGAAAAAGAAAAAGAAATAGTAACAAAAGGATACGTGCAAGAAATCAAAAAAGAAAGAAAGAAAAAATAGTTATAAACAGTCTAAAAAGAAAGCTTACACAAGAAAAAGAAACAGAAAAAAAACGATAAATGAAGAAAGAAAAACAGAAAGAAAGAAAGTTTGAATGAAAGAAATACAGACAGAAAAAAACAACAAAATGTAAACAAGATAAAAAGAAAGTGTAGGCAAAAAAGAAAGAGTAAAAACGACAAGTGAAAGAAAGAAAGAAAGAAAAAAGAAAATAGTCGTAAACAAGATGAAAAAACTGAGACAAGAAAAAAGAAAGAGTAAAAATGATAAGTGGAGAAAGAAAGCAAGAAAGAAAATGGAAAGAAGAAAATAGTTGTAAAAAAGACAAAAAGAAAGTTATACAAGAGAAAAAGAAAGACTGAAAACGATAAATGGAAGAATGAATGAATGATAAACAAAATTAAAAGAGCAAAACACTCAGTTAAAGAAAGAAAGAAAGAAAGAAAGAATGCAAAAATGGAAAAGATAGTATAAAAGCGAAAATTGAAAGAAAGAAAGAAAGAAGGAACGAGAAAAAGGATAGAATCAATCCAAAAGTGAATGAAATGGTTAAAATAAAAAAGTAAAACGGTAGAAAGAGCGATCTGAGAAAGAAAGAAAATTGGGGGAAAAAAAAAAACATTCGCAAACTCTTGTCTACGAAAACGCAATGATGAAGGCAATGCAAAGACAAAAACAAAATAATCGACGGAAAGAAAAGAAAAAGACAAAATTACACATTCGGCGATAAACATCTGCCTTTCAGAATGTCGTTTTTACAAAGGGCCAAAAAAAAAAGAAGCGGTCACCCAAACACATTGCAACTGCTGCGTACGATTGAATTAAATAACGTCCCGACGGTGTCCTTACTCATCTTTTTGTCGTCGACCACAGTCTAATTATTTGGAAACCGTTAAAATTCTATGCGTCGATGATTATTGCAGCATCCAACTCTCTATGTATTAGTTTTATGGAAAATGTTTACTAGATTGAAGGAAAAGTTCGAATTGTCGAAGAATTTATTTATCTTTCTTATTTTTTTTTCTTCTTCTTCTTCTTCTTCTTCTTCTTCTTCTTCTTCTTCTTCTTCTTCTTCTTTTTCTCAGTCTTCTTCTAATTATTATTATTATTATTATTATTATTATTATTATTATTATTATTATTATTATTATTCTCCTACTACTACTACTACTTCTTCTTCTTCTTCTTCTTCTTCTTCTTCTTATTATTATTATTATTATTATTATTATTATTATTATTCTCCTCCTGCTACTACTACTACTACTTCTTCTTCTTCTTCTTCTTCTTCTTCTTCTTCTTCTTCCTATTATTATTATTATTATTATTGTTGTTATTATTGTTATTCTCCTCCTACTACTACTACTACTTCTTCTTCTTCTTCCTATTATTATTATTATTATTATTATTGTTGTTGTTATTGTTGTTATTGTTGTTATTATTATTATTACTACTATTGTTATTATTATTATTATTATTCTACTACTACTACTACCACTTCTTCTTCTTCTTCTTCTTCTTCTTCTTCTTATTATTATTATTATTATAATTATTATTATTATTATTATTATCCTTCTTCTTCTTCTTCTTCTTCTTATTATTATTATTATTATTATTATTATTATTATTATTATTCTCCTCTTTAGTCATTATTTTGTCGCGTTGTTAGCTTTATTTCACTCTTTTTTTCTAATTCTTTTTCTTTATTGACATTTCCTATTTATTTTTCTCCCTTTTTATTCTTATCCCTCTCGTCTTCGTCTTCTACTTCCTCTTTTTCTTTTGTTGTCTTCTTTTTTACTTTATCTTCTTTTTGTCTTTTCTTTATTCACATTTCCTATTTTGCCTTAACCTTTCCTTTATTCTCATCCATTTTATCCTTTTCCGCTTTCTTCTTCCTCTTCTTCTTCTTTTTTCTTCTTCTTCTTCTTCTCTTCTTCTTCTTCTTCTTCTTCTTCTTCTTCTTCTTCTTCTTCTTCTTCAACACTATTTCATCCCTTTCACTTTTTCTTTTCCTATGTTTTTAATACATATTATTTTTGATCAACCCGCTTAATATTCTACTTTTCCTTATTTTTTTCTTGCTTCATATTTTCTTGTGTGACGAAATTCAAATTAGTTGTACTGTTTAGATCGAAAATAACCGTTTTGTAGTGAATGGCGTTTATAAGCATCAACATTAACAGATTGTTTTCTTTCATAACAGACGCAGGAAATGACAATTATTTGCATGCCCTTATGGTTCCTAATTAATTG